CTGACCAGTCATGGGACCATCAGGTGAATCATGAAGTACACCGGCACAAATGTTACCACCGTTTGCTTCATCATCATCACCGGCTTCTTGTTGGGATTGCTTCTTGATATTCAATCTTGATGTTGGTCTGTTCGAAGCCCATGTCCATTCAGCCATGAGCTCATTCTGTATGGCAGTTGTAGCATTGTTGTGATTTGGCACCACTTCACTATTTGTTAGCCAAAAGAATTCATGCCAGCCAAATGCACATGGGCGTTGCAATTCAACGCAATGATCTTGCAATGATTTGCATGGATGCATAGTTTTCCCACGATGTCTCCCGACCTGATAGCTGCGTAGCCTTGCCACTGGAAGTCCGTAGGCAACACTATCCATCTGAACAACACTGATGTCATACAGATCACCCAGGAATCGTTGAAGAACTTCACGCACAGGAAAGGAAACCACATTTTCACTTGTAAATTCAGATGGCTGCATCATCAATACGATGCCAATCCTTAGTTAATCGTATTAGTAAATCAAATCAAAACAAGCAAAGACCCAGAATCTATAACCGTTACAACCCCCATATAGATGCAGTGGTTATCATAAGGAAAACATTGGAAAAACAAAACATAAACATACACATTGACAATGAATATACAAACAAAGAGACCATGCCAGCAGTGACAATACACAAGGATCTGCCAGACCTAGCTGTAAGCCTTGCTTGCTGTAGGGTGTGCAAACGCTTCCTGCTGAGTGTCGTGCTGAATGCTTTAGACGGCAATACCTGTTGTGGCGAACACAAAAGCCTGACTGCCGGACTGCTCTGCGTTCAATCAAAAGCTCTGCCATAACTTCCAAAGCCATAAATGGTTTCTTCTTCAGTTCATTGACTATCGGCAAAACTTCTGGCCGCCGAAATGAATCAATATCTTTGAATAGACATGGTTCGTCTTCCAGTCCGCTGTAAATGGCAGGGTTCAAAGATGAATCATGTAGCAAAAGAAGCTCTTGCTGACATGATGTATTCCAGTCTATATGCCATAGAGATTTTGGTGGACGAACTTGCTTGCCCAAAGTCATTGACAAAAAGTCAGCCAGCATACGGTCAACCACGTCATGCGCTGCTACTCCTGCAAATGCAATTGAAGTCGTGAGGCTTGATAGCTTCTTGGCAAGTTGTTCTAGGCTTTCAACTCGCAACTCATCATCAGCTGAATCTTCAACACTGTCAGAGTCATTGCCGCTGGCACTCAATCCTGCCAGAAGCAAAAAGTCCTGAATATAGTTGAGGCCTTCCAACAAATTAGAAGTTGTCCGATTGGCAGTCAACTTGCTCCATTTGAAAGAGGTTTCAATGTTTGAGCTCTCTGATGATGAAGCAGCACGTAGATCAGCAGAGTCAGTAGGATCACTAGACTTTTGTTGTGGTTCC